GGCTTGCCCTCCCCTAATTAAGGTAAGTTTTAGGGTTAGGTTCTTTTTTTTCTTCTTGTCTTCCGTTCAAAATATCTGCGAAATGAAATTGCTATTTGTTGGGGTTTTTTCCTCTTCACCCCTTACTGGGCGCATGAAAAAAACACAAAAAAGGTCGATCGACCGGTACAGAGAAAGCCACGCTTGTACACGATGGTAACTCAAACTACGGTAGTCCTCCCTTTTATGCAAACGAGGTAGATTCGAATCACAAATTTAGTTTTGTTTTAAACCTTTTTTTTTTAAGCCGATCGAATCAGCTTTCGTAATTTTGCAAAGGAACATCGACAAAACCCTTCGGGGTAAAAAATAATTGCGCTTTTAATCAACTGATTAAATGGGCAGTTGACCCCCCAAATTGTCCATACTTCAATGAGTGAGAATATATGTGGCCTAAAATAAAACAAGGACAAAATATCGCCCACCAAGTAGATTTTAAGGTCTGTGATCTTGCCTACTAGATTTAGAAAGTGGAAAATCCCACTGCCAGACAAATCGAGGCTAGTGGGGCCTACACATGATAAATTTTTGTACTAGATCTAGACCTTGTAATACTAGAATTTTGGTAGAACATCAGAACTGACAAAATGGAGAGAAAAATAAACTTAGACGCGAATCATGACTCCCAACTTCGAAGCCTTGGGAGGAGTTCCGTAACAAGCGACCACTATAAAACAGAGTAGAATCTATAGATGGTTAGGGTTTGGAGAAAGGGTAGGTTTTGGGGTAGGGTTTGTTGGGGTAGGGTTTGTTGGGGTAGGGTTTGTTGAGGTTGGGTAGGGTTGGCACTCTTTGGGAGAAATGATCCCGGCCTAACTCCATAAAAATTTCAAAGTGACTATTTCTCCGAACCCTCGGGAAAATAAAAGTTGAACTCTATTTCTCCAAACGGTTTCTGTTCTCGAGATTTTTCGACTATTTGCGAGATTTAGGCGTCATCTGCCATTCTGTGAGGACTGGGAAGAAGCATTTATTGCACTGAATTAAAGTTCTAGAGCTAGAGGTTTTTAAATATCTGAATATTCAGATACTTCAGTTGTGGTGGGGGCAACGTTACCGGACTCTATACTTCATTTGAAAATGCCTTCAAAAGGCACTGCGAGAAAACAAGCCTGCTCGACCTTGGTAGTATAGCATATTTTGCATTTAGTAACTACCCCTTTAAAGCAAAAACTAAAATCCTTTCATATAAACCCAAAAAAAATTCCTCCACGACCACA